CCCCGCCCCGCCCCGCCGCAACTGTTTTCGACCAGACGATAGACCGCCGAGGGCGTAGGAGCGCGCCCCGGCTCGGATTACGCTTTGTGCCGTCCTGCTGCCCGGGCCGCCCTCCAGCGGCCACCAGCGGCCTCCAGCGGCCTCCAGCCCCGCGGGCGATCCGCCAGCCGATGACCGGACAAATCTGCGTGAAGAAGAAAGTGTCGGTTTGTTCCCACGTCCCCAGCATAGACGGTAAGCCCTCCCGCTCCAGACGAAAGGTCGTCCTTGACAGTAGAACTTTTGCCGGCAGCGACTTTGTTTGACTTTGTTTGTAAACATGCAAAGGCTCTGTCGTGGTTTGTCTGAAGTTATGGGAACAGTTTCCTTAACCCATACGTAGTCAATGCAATTGTCTCACCTAGACGGATGCTATGTTGGCCAGCGATAGCAAGCACGGTATCAAGTAATGCGAGATACGTAGTTCAAAAAGTTTTAAAAACATTTATTGAAAAGCCAGCCACATACCAGGTGGCTGATTCACGCCGCGCACTTCTGTAGGTATACTGTACCGCACGCACGAGTGCGGGCGGGCTTGCCTATCGCCCCTTTCCTCGGCGCCTTACGAGCCGAGCGAGTAGGCAACCGGCCCGCACTCGTGCATGCGGTACAGCATAACTACAGAAGTGCGCGGCGTGAATCAGCCACCTGGTACTTGAGGGCCCGCTCTGTGCTAGAGAGTTAAAGGTTGGCCTCTTGTAGAGACTGTCTTTAGGGGACTGTATAAAAATACCCCTGCAGGCCGACGAGACGGTCGGTGAGTACTACGTCTTGCAAAAGAAACGACCCTCTGCTGCGGGACTACTCCGCGCTCCGGCTCGGGCGACAGACGGACACCGGCCGCCCCGTTGCCGCTGTGCACTAGGGCGGGGGCGGGGGGCACCGACTGCACTGCCGGGCCGGCGGTGCGCGCTGGAGGGCTCGGCCTGCCTGGCCTCCTGGGCCGCAGCCCCGGGCCGCAGTCTTCCGCGGTGGTGGTGACCGGTGACGGGCGAAGTGACGGGCATTGTGACGGGCCGTAAGCGGCTGCTTCGGCTACTCACAAGTGTTGAACTACGTGTCGCACTCATGCAGTTCACTGAAAATTTGAACAGTTTCAAGTTTTAGGGTGAATAATTGAACACTTGAAACTGTTGCCTGCAACTATGAATGCAGTTGAGGAGACAGAGGGCATTCCCTATCTGGGTGCCTCATCACACTTGCACACCCAGGTAGGTAGGCAAACGAAAAGAAATTAACGCATTAACGACAAGCGTGGATTGGAGGGGCAGTTCTAGTGCCAAACCTGAACTACAGGAAATTTGCTCGACCACCAAACAATAGTGTCCTCTCCCCCCCCCCCTTTCCGCCAGCCACCTTACAACCCGAGCGTGACACCGTTTATTCCAGGTAGTAAAAAGAAAATCTTTAATTTCAGGCGCCCTTCACTTGGGGTGTGTGAGCTTTTATACACCCTAGTGAAGGGCACTTGAAATTAAAGATTTACTTTTTACCATCTGGAATAAACGGTGTCACGCTC